ATTTTTATTACAGGGGCGCGTGCGCTTGCCAGACAGACAGAGAGAGACATAGAGACAGAAAGCGAGAAATCACCCCCCAGGGGGGATGGTCACGCCGCAATCCCTTCTCCTCCATTCTCCTCTCGGGATCTTGGGCACGCACGCACACACGCCCGGCGTGAGTTTTAAGCCACCTGGTCCAGGACGTGAACCGCGGTCAACTACGTGGGAGTCCAGCGACATAGCCATTACGCTAACCGCTGGTTCCCCTGGCCCCAATTTTTAAAAATAACTTTCTTTCCTCTTATGTCATCAAATGTGATCAGCATAGAAAATTTAGGACCCGCAGACTAAACATAAAGGTCTTACGGCACCGTGGCTGAGCTCTCACTCTCTGCCACCACTGTCCCTGGGCTCGCATCCCAGCTCCACCACTTATCAGCTGTACAGCCTTGAAGAAGTTACTTCACCTCGTATAGGGTCTTTGTGAGAATGAAACAATAATGCACAATAGGAAGAGAATTTAGAACAGTACCAAACACTTAGCAAATACTAGCACTTATTATCTTGCTATTGGGAACATTTAAATCATGTGTTAATCCACCAGCGCTAGCCGCTGTTATCCCTGTGACCCAGATCCCTTCATTTCTTCCGTGTATACACACACACACACAAGCACACACACAGAATATACATCTACCCAGTACACTTTGGGGAGAGGTGGAAGGTAAATCGATGTTTTTTTCCATTTTCAGTTGCATGAGCAAACTTTCCTTTGTCCATGAAAATAACCAACTCTAAATAATAACTAATATGGTTTATTTCTAAGCAGAATATGAGTGACCTAGGCTCAGAGAGGAGGCAAAACGTGACTTTCTCGGGGTGATCAGATACAGGGGTTCCTCTTATTTGATTTTGAGAACTGAGAGACGAAGTTTGGAATTTAGTGAAGAGTTTTTCTATTGGCTGACCCCCAAAAGCAGGATATGTGGAAGTGGGGGGCTTGTAGGTTATAGGTGGGTTTCACAGTTTTTAGGTTGGTGATTAGCAAAGATTGCTGAGATCAGAAAGAATGTATTTTGGGGGCCAGCAGGTAGCTAGGTGGGCATTGGACTCCCACATGGCCCACCGAGGTTCGAGTAGACCTGGCAGTTTGTTCTTGCTCTCGCTCTATCCCTCCCTGGTCAAATTAAAATAAATAAATAAGTAAATGGATAAATAAAGTTAAATAAAATAATTCCCAAAAAAAAAAAAAAAGATGAGAAAAGAAAGAACTACTTTAACAGAGATAAGGAGGCTTAATATATGTAACAAAGATACCATGCCAGGGACAGGATGTAGGAAGAACCCTGTTAGGAATGGGTCAAAAAGTTCTGTTAACATTTGTGGGCATCGAGACCAGCAGTTAGCGTAATGGCTATGTCACTGGACTCTCACGTAGTCGACCGCAGTTCGAGTCCCGGACCCGGTGGCTTAAAGCTCACGCCGGGCGCATGTGTATGCGTGCCCAAGATCCCGAGAGGAGAATGGAGGAGAAGGGATTGTGGCGTGACCATCCCCCCTGGGGGGTGATTTCTCACTTTTTGTCTCTCTGTCTCTGTCTGTCTGGCAAGCGCACGTGCCCTATAACAAAAACCTCTCTCAAAAAAAAAAAAAAAAAATTTGTGGGCATGACTCCCTCCAGACCCTCTGAAAAGGATTTTGAAAAATAAGAAAAACTCAGACTTCTGTCCTCACCTTAAACTCTTCTATAGCATAAATTTCGGTAACTATATATTCAAACATTTTTTTTTTGAGTCCTTTTGGTCAGGCATTTAGGTAGTTAATAAAAATTTGCCATTGTTTATTATAGCAATCATCCTTACACAACAAACCCCTTTATGATTTTATCTTTAGAATACATCCTAGTAGAAAACATATGCAAAGTTTGTGTGTGTGTGTGTGTGTGTGTGTGTGTGTGTGTGTGTGTGTGTGTAGTTTATATTTAAACATTAAGGTGTATTCTTCGAGAGAGTCAGCGAAGGGTCCCTCTCCATGGCAGTCCTCTCAGCCAGCTGGGATCACAGGTGCACATGGATACACCCACCAAGTTCAGGTTGACACAATATCTGAACCCAGGCCTCTCCTGTGACTCCAGCATCATGCAGCAGCCCCCACCACCTCTGTTACTACGGCTGTGCTATTATTATTTCTGTAAAATAGACATAAGATTTACCATTAGATGGGGCTGGCAGGTGGCATGGTGCTTAAGGGTACTGGATTCCCACATGGCCAACCCTGGTGTGAGTCCCAGACCTGGTGACTTGCTTTCTCACTTTCCCTCTTTCACTCGCACTCTGTCCCTGTCTGGTCAAATTCAAATAAATAAAGTTAATGAAAAGAAAAGAAAAGGTGGACCAGCAATTAGCGTAATGGCTATGTCGCTGGACTCCCACGCGGTCGACCATGGTTCGCGTCCCAGACCCGGTGGCTTAAAACTCACGCCAGGCGCGTGTGCGTGTGTGCCCAAGATCCTGAGAGGAGAATGGAGGAGAAGGGATTGTGGTGTGGCCATCCCCCTGGGGGGTGATTTCTTGCTTTCTATCTCTCTGTCTTTCTGGCAAGCGCACGATCCCTATAGCAAAAACCTCTCCAAAAATAAATAAATAAAATTTTAAAAAAGAAAAGAGAAGAGACTAGAAGAGAAAAAATAAAAGAAAGAAAAGAAAAGAAAAGAAAAGAAAAGACAAGAAGAGAAAAGAAAAGAAAAGAAAAGAAAAGAAAAGACAAGAAGAGAAAAGAAAAGAAAAGAAAAGAAAAGAAAAGACAAGAAGAGAAAAGAAAAGAAAAGAAAAGAAAAGAAAAGACAAGAAGAGAAAAGAAAAGAAAAGAAAAGAAAAGAAAAGAAAAGAAAAGAAAAGAAAAGAAAAGAAAAGGAGTCATGATGTAGTTTAAAAAGAAAAGACTCACCATAAGTAGGCCAGCAGATGGTGTGGTGATCAAAGGCACTGGACTCCCACACGGCCAGCCACGATTTGAGTCCCAGACCCAGTGGCTCGCTTTTTAATTTTCCCTCTCTTTCTCTCTGTCTCTCTCTGATCAAATTTTTAAAATAATAATAATTATGGGACCAGCAGATAATATAATGGTTACATCACTGGACTTCCACATGGCCAACCACAGTTCAAGTCCTGGACCCGGTGGCTTGAAACTCATGCCAGGCACATGTGTGTGCATGATCAAAATCCCGAGAGAAGAATGGCAGAGAAGGGATTGCAGCATGGCCATTCTCCCTGGGAAATGATTTATCACTTTCTGTCTCTCTCTGTCTCTCACCATCTCTCTGCTGAGCTCACGTGCCCAATAGCAAAACTCTCTCTCAAAAAAAACTAATAATAATAATAAAAAAATAAACCTTAAAGATTTGCCATTAGTGACAATTAGTACATCACAGTGCCATGAACCCCCACCATGTCCAGTTGTAGAACATTCTCATCCCCCTAAAAGGAAACCCCACATCTACCAATCAATCACTCCTTATCCCCTGGCCGACTTCTGGCAACCCCCAGTCCACTCCTTGTTTCCATGCTGTTGCCATGCTGGACTCTCATATAAATGGAATCGTGCAGCCTATGGCCCCTGTGTCTGGCTTGCTTCATGTCTCCAAGACTCGTCACGTCGCAGCATGCCCTGCACTCCATCCCTCTGCAGGGCCGAGTGTAGCCCACTGCACGGACACACCACACTGTTTATCCACTCATCACTGGACGGGCACCTGGGCTGCCTCCACCCTGCATCCGCTGTGAATAGTGCCGTTTGTACAAACACCTGCTATTACAGCTGTCTTCGGTTCCCTTGGTAAACACCCAGGAGTATTATTAGAATTGCTGGCTTA